TTTAGTATAATCACCTGAAAATAAGAGTCATTGTACTGTCAACAAGGCCTTAGAACAGTGGTTCCTTGTTGATCTGAACAAAACAGGGACAGGTTGATAACAACACTGCTCCATAATGCTGCTAGTGGTCAAAAACTCCACTGGCTAGCTCTAAGGAACAATTAAATGAAAGAGATGAAGACTGACCTCATAGCTATGAATGGTTTAATTAACTATTCATATAACCAGTAAAGCCCTCTTGTAATCTCAGCCATCTAACAGTTGTTCCCTACCTTTTTCCTTCAGGGAGCCCTTTTCTATCATTGAGTAAACTGATGACCCAAGACTAAGTGACATATATTATGAATATTTTTAATATTACATTCAATGCATAACAATAACAGTACAACAACTGAAAAACTGTACAATGAACCCAAAGAGTGAACACAGTGATACAATGAGAGATTTGGATACATTTTGAGCAGATTATTTCCTGTGAATATTATGTCAAAAGTGAGCTTTCCTGATACTTTTAACAAATTTAGTGTTTTCTTCTCATTGTTCTGTCTGCTCTTTGCTTGTTTTAACTGTGTACTTTTCTAATGCAGGGCAAGGCTGTATCAGCTAAATAATAAAATAACAAATTCATTTAGTTTTCTTCACAAAAATGAATGAAATGCTGAGATGTAGGCCAACTGTGTAAATATTTATTTTTCTTAAACCCCTTAAAACCAAGAAGGGACCATCTGCAACTTCAATGCTAGATGCAACTAAATCCAATACACTGGTCCTTTAACTTACCATGGATAAATACAGCATTTAACATCATTGGCTCAGTATCTTTTATCATTTTTAAGTACTCAGGTCTCCCTTGAAAATGAGATCTTAATCCCAATGGCACCTGATTAGATAAAGGTTATAAAAGTTGAGAAAAGATCAAATAACTTCATCTGGGATGAATATTTAAGACCCTGTCAGCGTTGAAGTTTAATCATCAATCTATCATTTTGAAGTACTCACCATAAATCTGGTCTGAGGGAGTTTCCAGAGCTTTATGACCATCCGACACGCAATTTTGATGGAGTACACTCACCCCTTAGGTCCACTGTGTGTAACATTTAGAAGGATCTACTGGCATAAATGGAATATAATATTCATAGTGTATAATCATCTGAAAATAAGAATCGAAATCGAAAGTTTTTCGTTACTTTAGAATGAGCCGGTTTTATCTACAGACACCCTTCACAGCCGCTGTAGTTTCTCCCTCGCGGTTGGAAAGGGAGGGTTAAACAAGTGAGTTCGCAGATTGCAACTAACTTGTTTAACCCTCTCTTGCACCGCTCAATGCCACTAAATCCTACACACTGGTCCTTTTAGGGGAATGGAGAGCCAGACAGTCCAGATCAGAGTAAGCTACCATAACCCATTAGCCGTGTTGCACCGTCCACTTATTTAATCCAGTATATACCCCACAAAAGAGGCATGGGTTAGCATACAAGTAAGAGACAGTTAATGGTACAACTATGTTGTTTTGTGTTGTTATCGTCGCTATTATGGCTGAGTAATACTAGCATGTTCCTGAATGGCTGGAATGTGAGTGGTTAGCATGCTACCTACAGTATTTCGCCAATTAGCTTTGAGTAGTCACTATGTCACCAAAGTTCCAGTACCACCGATTTTGCAAGGACTCGCCAATCACTGTATCAGATTCTTTATTAATTTCTTTCATATTTCTGCTTACTGACATTTTTTCCTTTTCTGTCCACCACTTTCATTCTCTTCCCAGCAGCTTTTCCCTGACCTCATCCATGCACCTGCTGATGACGGACTCCTAAAACCTTTCTTTTACACCGTTGAACCAACCAGAACCACACAGCCATGAACCCCCAGGAGACAGAGCTCGGCCAGGAAGTGATGGAGGAGGCCGATGCTCCTCCTCGCCATCGCCACAACAACCACAACAGCCGGCCCCGTAACCACAGCAACCAGGAAAAGCGCTACAGGCGCTGTGAAGGCCCAGCTGGAGGAAGCGCTGGCGGTAGATCCAGGGCACCACAGCAACGCAGGCCTCAGGAGGAACAAGACATGGAGCTGCAACATGGAGCTCAGTCCCCACAGCCCCAGCTGCCCCAGCCTATTCCCAGACCTGCAGTGACACGTTATCGCAGACAGGGGGACAGCGAGGCCCGGATCAGAGCCCAGCAGCAGAGGCACAGACAGAGGCAACAGCGAGAGGCGGAGAGAGCACAACATTTAGCACAACAACAGGAGAAGCAGCACCACGCAGAGATGACCCAGGAAGATGAACGAGAAAGGGATGATTCAGTGCTGGCCCGCTCAGCGAGCACTGAGAGTGGCTTCCACACCCATACTGACCGGGCTGAGGGGGACGATGGCCTGGTGATGATGTCTCTGGAGCCTGAGGGGCAGCCGGAGGCAGAGGACGAGGCGGGGAACTATGGGGTCCAGCTACGGCCGGAGGCGGAGGGGTATACTGAGAGCGCTGAGGCTGAACAGCAACATCTCCATCCACATCCTAACTATCCCCCTCAGCCCCCACCCCTACCACGTGATCCCCTGCCCGATATTCAAAACCCCCAGAGACAGGATGAAGCAGAGGAGATGCTGAACGCTGGCTACTCCAACTACGTCTACACCCAGCCCCTCAGTCACTCCGGAGGAAGGGCCAACGTCTCAGCCGGTGAGAGCTTGGAGAGTTTAGATGCTGGGCTTGTGGACGAAGCCTACTCTGAGCCATATGACATTTACTCACTCTCTGAGCATGTTTACGAAGAAATCTGCGATGCTCCGACGTCGGTTCCATCTGCTGCCGACGGAGCTGAGGACACAGAGTCTCTCCAACAGAGGAGGGCCGGCTTTCAGCTGTTGGAGGGCCGGGTGGGAGGTGGAGACTACCATCAGCAGGAGGCAGTGGGCTCCCGCCTGCGCCACTACGACGAACGCTCTGATGGCGAGTCGGACAGCCCAGAGAAGGAAGCAGAGTTTGCCCCGTACCCACGCGCTGACAGCTGCGACCAGGAGGAGGACATCGACAGCATTGTGGCTGAGGTCAAAGAAAGCCTAAGTTCTCAGAGTCTATACTGTGCTGCGGAAGACACCATAGATGAAGAAAATGAGCTACTGCAAGGAGAAGAAAAACCTGATTTCCCAATTGACTCTGACCAAAACCACAAAGCTGCCAACCGAGGGAAGCCAGTCAGAAAACAGGCTACGAGTCCTTCAGAGGAGCCTGTAGCAGTGAGGAACAGTCAGGAGAAGAGGGATGCCATATCCCTGGCCATAAAGGACATTAAAGAGGCCATAGAGGAGGTGAAGAACAGAACAGTGAGATCTCCTTACACACCCGACGAGCCTAAGGAGCCCATTTGGGTAATGAGGCAGGACCTGAGCCCCACTGCAGAGTGTGACCTACAACCACCACTAGGGGGCGATGTAAGTACAGCGGCTCTGGCTACGATTGATCAAGTTTTATTGGATAACATGGCTGTTCTGTTAGCCAGCTGGTGTTTGCATATGCATGTGTTGGTTTGATTTTTAAAGCCAACAGAGGGCAGAAAAACCCAAGGGGCCACTTCAAATGCCACAACACTTACTGCATATCATTGCAGGCGCCCCACACAGCCAACATCAACAGCATTAGTTGCACAACACAATTCATCTCATCTTGTCTGTGTCAGACAGCAAAAACACAAACACACAAGCTGTGACGAGGGTACACTGACACACAGACAGGACAAATTGCCGCTTAGTGGCAAAATATCACAACAATATCACCTCCCTGTGGGACAGAGGACAGCACATGTCATAACACAGAAACATTGACCAGCAGGAAACAGCTTGTAGGCTACAGCTCAGATAATGTTTGACCATGCAGGAGGTGCTTCAGCTGCAATTTTCAATGATCGACTAATCTAAAGCAGCTTTTAAGTCGATTTCATTTTGTGATGTGTGGTGGGCTCTACACAGCAGTACTGTTGCTGAACAACATTCCTATAGTGGTATAGGGATAGTTTTGAAATGTGTTTTCTTCCTTCATGTAACCTGACAGTGCCAAATAGTTTGTTACCCAGAACCATCTGGGAAGTCATGGTTGAAAAAGGGCAGGCACTTTCAAATAATATTTTTGCAGAGGACTGGATGAAGCTTTTGTTTATCACTGTCTATGGGCACGGTCACACATATGAGAAAAAAAACAACAGTGAATCTTTGCCTCCCGTTCACTTCCATTCTGTGCAAACATACGGCAAATAAAACATTTGCTTCTGGTGGCAAAGCAGATTTGCATCTCCGCTTTATGTGGGGTTCTACACTGGATTTTTACCAGCGAATCTGAGCAACTGATTTACCTCTGTAGTACATCCTGCACTGCCCACATATCGCCACGGCAGGTGAACTAATAACTACGTTATGTGATTGTTGATCTGATAGGTTGAAGTTGGTTTTTGATAGACAGTGGTAGACACATGCTGCATTCAATCATGCCAAAATATTTTTTTTATTTAAATGCCTGTCCTTTTCCAAACAGTTTGCAGCGACTTCAGGTTAAGAATAAACCGCACTTGCATCCTGATCATCCACATTAAAAACATGTCTGCCAATTTCTGATTTAATTTGTGATGAAGAAAACAGACTTGTATTCCTTGATATCAATCTGCAGGGTGTGCAGTAGCAATATAGTGCCATTAGTAGGAAACCTCAAGAACTCTCCTCAGTTCCTTTCCTTTGTTTGTTCCCTTTGTCCCTTAGTTAGTCCATCTCACAGGCTGTTTCTCTGAGAGTTTAATGTTTCCTCTTTTGTGTGGCTTTACTTTTGCATTGTGTTCCTTTCTTCTTTGTCTTCCTTTGCAATGTTCATTAGTATGAAATCTGCTTCACCAACTATAGACTATAGGAGCTGAAATATATTAAAAATACACTACATATTCCTCATCAACCTTGGATTTTACTGTATACTGCAGCTTTGTTGACCACAAACCACTAACCAAAGCAGGCTAGTTGTTACTAGTTTAGGACAGTTGACTTTGAATGCAGCATGGTGTATGCGTATACATCCATTCATGTTCTCATTACTTTTGGGTACTACTGATTAAAATCATTTTTACAATGCAGAACATTTGGAAAGGGCACATATTGCTCACTTACACCAA